TCGTCTACGTCCACCGACACCGCCCCCCCCCCCCGCCGACCCGCTGCGCTGCCTGCGCTGCGCTGCCTGCGCTGCCTGCGCTGCGCTGCCTGCGCTGCGCTGCCTGCGCTGCCTGCGCTGCGCTGCCTGCGCTGCCTGCGCTGCGCTGCGCTGCCTGTGCTGCGCTGCGCTGCCTGTGCTGCGCTGCGCTGCCTGTGCTGCGCCAGGAATCGAACCGGCGAGTATAATTTCGTGAGGTTTTTATATGGCCAGAGAGGAAGTTGAGGGGTACTTTTTCTCCACGCAAGACTTCAAAGAACTGGGCACGTGTGTGGCACAAATCGCCAGTGGCCACAACCTCAGCGAGCCGTTGAGCCAACAAGTTATTGACGGCATTACCAAGTACGCGCTGCAGGAAATCGCCTCTCTCGTAAGTCCCCCTCTCAACCCGCCTCTCAAGACCGACCCGTCCTTCTGCGCCGCTCTTCTGGACCGCTATTCTTTACCGGTCACATGGACCGGCTATATGAACCCTCTCTCCGCCGCAGGTGAACGAGATAGTGGAGCAGTCTCCGAACGGCTGGCCTTCAGCGGAGGCAGCGGTGCGGGTGCTGCAAAAATATCCGGACATGCCTGACGTCGCCAAGTCGGTTGAGATCGCGAAGGAAATGGGTCGGTCCTGGTGTTTCCACCCAGACCAGCACTACGTGACGCCGAAAATGCGTCAGCCGAGACTCGGGCCGCCGACTGCCTGGTCCGGCGCCGGGGGGCCATATCTGCGGCACCCAGCGATGCGAACGCGGCTCGACGCCGCTTCAGTTTACAACGCCAGGCCCCTGCCTGGCCCAGGATAACTGATGTTAAAAACGCACCTCCAGTAGGCGCATAGTTCACGGCCTCCAGTAGCCTCAACGCCGCTTCTGTCTCTCGTACTCCTTTCGGCTTTCTTCAATCGCCAACCGCAGCTGCTCGTCTTCGTCCAAATCCGAAACGTCCATCGGCGTGTTCCCCCCCGGACTCAAAGGGCTCTGTCGCAACTGCCCATTTCTTATGCCTTCTGCAACCATAGCTTGAGCCGGATTCAAATTCCCTGCAGCACAAACAGATTCCGAGATATAGGGGTGTGGGTTCGAATCCAGGGTAGGGGCGAGTTCGAATCTAGGGCAGGGACGAGTTCGAATCTAGGGTAGGGACGAGTTCGAATCTAGGGTAGGGACCAGTTCGAATCTAGGGCAGGGACGAGTTCGAATCCAGAGTTCGACTATACGGGGCGCGAGCCAAATCCACAAAGTGCGGGTTCAAATCTAAGGGGGTATGAGTTCGAATATGGGGGCGCGAGTTCGAATCCACTGGGTGCGGGTTCGAACCTAGGAAGGGTGCGGGTTCGAACCTAGGTTGACGCCAAGACTGGGCGGGACGAATTGCGGCCGTTGGGTGCCGCTGACCCGGCCGGGTCGGGCGGGTTCAGGTGCGTCTCCGAGCAGCGAGGCGGTATAGCCTGCACGTGGCGGTCCGATGAGGCGTTCGGAATAAACGTGGTCGGGCGCCCGAGCACGGGCGGGGTCACCGGCGGCTAATTCACGCGCGTAATGCGCGTCCTCGTCTTCCTGCAGCCGTCGCGCGAGTTCTTCGTCTGTGAGCCGCGGCTCGACCTTCGCCGGACTTGGGCTCTGCATGGTTGGCATGGACGCATTTCCTCGCAAACTCGGCGCCGGGACGGGGGCGGTCGCGGCCGTGGCGGCGGGGACCACC